CTGCAGTGCTGGAAGCATTTCTTGCCAACAGACGTCGATTGCCACCTGGAATCCACATGCACCCGGATGGGCCATATGAAGCCAGGACCAAGCACAAAGGCAAGTTGGAGCTGACCATTCCACTTGTGGATTGTCTAAACGATAAAAAAAACGTGTAAAGGACAGGGCCTACCACCTCGGTTAACCTCACATAGGTGGGCTACCTGTCCATTCACATAAGGCTCATACAGGAAAACAGGACGAAGCTCACGCGTTCCAAATTGAAAGCACAAACTGCTTATATATGAACGCCTTGAGTCTACCAAACAAACTGGATGAATTACGTGAACTTTGCAACGCTAATAAAGCCCACCTGATAGGAACATCTGAAACCTGGATATCTTCTCAGTTCTCGGACCAAGAGTTAGCATTACCAGGGATGACTTTGTTCCGCAACGACAGAACAACAGGAATTGCGGGCGGAGTAGCCATATACATAAGCTCTTGCTTGGAGGTGCACCAAGTTCACAACCTCGAGTTTAACAATCTTGAGGAATCCATATGGTGCTCTGTAGGATTGTCTAGCACTTCGAGGTGTCTAGTCGGTGTCATTTACAGGAAGCCAACTGCTGACATCGGGTACGATAGTCGTATGCTGGATGGACTATCCCGCTCTACCCGTCTCGGTTTCACACATATCCTGATTCTAGGGGACTTTAATCTCCCTAGAGTCAACTTCGCGGAACACACGTATACTGGGGGCGACAACTCAATTGAAGCTCGGTTCTTCAACCTCATCGATGACTTGGGCTTATATGAAAATGTGAGGTCGGCAACTCGTTGGAGAAACAGTCAGACACCATCGCGGTTAGACTGTGTATTCACAAACGAAGAATTCCTAGTTGACAACCTCTCAATCCTGGCTCCTCTGGGAAAGAACGATCATGCCGTCATAGCCTTCAGTTTTGTCACCAAAACTAAGCTAAGGTATCCCAACAATAATTTGCGTTGGAATTTTAAACGGCTGAACGTGCCAGCTCTACATGACTATCTACAACAGGTGGTTTGGGATGTTCACCCCCAACTTGATGTGGACGGTCATTGGAACTTCTTACTGCACACGCTCTTATGTGCTACAAACCATTCAGTTCCTCAAACGGTTCCCAAAAGCTGTAAGCCACCTACAATAATCAAGAACCATACCCTTCGCTTGCTAAGCCGTAAAAGGCACTGTTGGGCGGAATACAAACGAACTGACAACGACGGAGCGTACAGGCAATTCAAACATATTTCGTGCCTATAGGTAACCCTCGTGTTATTGATAGAAGAAGTCAGACAATAATTGAGTACGTCTTTATTTCGATCTCAGCGCAGTCACAGTGGAGCGTGGGATTATCTGTTCAGACAAACAAAAGCTTTCAACATTCAATATAAGATAATAAGGAATATAACGCTTATACAAAATAAGGAAGTGAATGAATACTTGAACAATACTGTTTTGACATATGCTTGGTTGTTTGGGGTCAACTCTTAACCAACCAACCTATGCTGTTACATTAGCTTCCCCCTAGAATCGACTTCCGTAGGAACGTCGGTTCGATTAACCTATCTTTCAAAAACACCTTAGTTCTATTTCTCATCTCAAGGGAAAATAATCAACTCGCTCAATGTTTGACTTACATTCAGTGGCAACTAACGCTTATACAAAATAAGGAAGTGAATGAATACTTGAACAATACTGTTTTGACATATGCTTGGTTGTTTGGGGTCAACTCTTAACCAACCAACCTATGCTGTTACACATATCAGGAACATATGCACGAAGGCTATAAGAGAAGACAGGCTTCATTATCAGACAAAGCTTATGGACAAATTTGCCTCGAACCCTAGAAGCCTATTCCGTTATGCAGCCTCTCTTCGTCAAGCCAAAACAGGAGTTTCTCAACTACTAGGTCTTAACGGCCCGACCAACAACGATGGTGACCCCGCTAACCTTCTGGCGGCACATTACTCTCAAACATTTCAGCCGGCTGACATCAACTCTATTGACGACAGTTTCACCTGTGATTCCACAGGGCTTTCCGAAGTGGACTTAAGCGCTGACTTGGTGTTCCGGAAACTCCAGCACTTAAGACTAGATACTTCTCCTGGCCCGGATATGGTTCATTCTGCCATACTGAGGGAGGCAGCCTCAATCCTGGCAACGCCGCTTAGCGTGATGTTTTCACACTCGCTAAGCCAAGGCAAACTACCGGAAAATTGGAAGTTGGCTCACATCACACCAATTTTCAAAGGGGGTCGACGCAATGAACCTTCAAGTTATCGGCCTGTGGCTCTTCTGTCATTACCTTCAAAACTCATGGAGTCGCTGATATGCGATGGTTTAAACGATTATCTACTGTCCTTAAACTTCTTCTCACCCCAACAGCATGGTTTCAGGAAGGGTTACTCTTGTATAACCAACCTGCTGACTGCGGTGGACAGATGGACAAGCATCCTCGATCGCAAGGGAAAGGTCGAGATCATATACCTTGATTTCTCAAAAGCTTTTGATAGAGTTAACCACTTGTGTCTTATCAATAAGCTCAAACCACTAGGTATCAAACCACCTCTAATCGATTGGCTTATTTCATACTTAGAAAATCGACACTTTAAGGTTAGGGTTAATTTCACTTTATCTCAGGCTATGGAATGTCCTAGTGGGGTCCCCCAGGGCTCAGCGTTAAGGCCTCTTCTCTTCTTGATCTACATAAACGATCTCCCTCAACAGGTAACGTCAGACTTATTACTTTTTGCCGATGACGTGAAACTTTGTAGAGAGATACCCAAACAAGACGATACACAGGCACTTCAGGAGGATCTGACTCGACTTCAAAGTTGGGCAGACGATAACGGACTTACATTCAACACTTCAAAGTGTAAAGTAGTCCATCTGCGACATGTCGCAGACTACAGTTATAACTTAGGAAACTCCTCTCTAGTAGTATCCCAAGTCGAAAAAGATTTAGGAGTCCTGGTGCCCTATGATTTAAAGTCTTACGCTAATTGTGACAAAAATGCCTTCCGAGCAAACCTTGCACTGGTAACATTGAAGCGCATTTTTGGCCAGTTTGACGGAAGAACTTTCCATACAATCTTCAATAGTTTTATCCGTCCCCATTTAGAGTACGGAAATATAGTACTCCTCCCTCACTCCAAAAGGACAAGGTCACTTTGGAGCGTATCCAACGGCGAGCCACGAAATCAGTTCGCGGACTCAAATCTAAGCCTTACGAAGAACGCCTCCATTCACTAGACCTTTACCCATTAGAGTATAGGCGTCTTAGAGGTGATCTATTAATGGCTTATAGTATTCTTAACACTTCTGGACATCCTCTTAAACACCTACTCAAGCTTAGTTCGAATACTATCCTAAGGGGTAACACACAGAAACTGGAAACTCAACATAGCAAGACGGGATGTAGACACAACTTCAACTCCTTAAGAGTTGTCAAATGCTGGAATTCGCTGCCGGCCGAGCTAGTCCAAGCGACTTCTCAGGAGTCCTTCAAGAGGCAACTTGACCTATTCTTAAGGACCAAGGACAGTATCATACTATGATTTACCAATTTCTTTTCCTCTTTTATTGTTAACATACCTAGGTTCCTGCCTGGAGGATTTGGTGATCCCCTGCTACTAGACACGGAAGCCTGTTAAGCGAAAGCTTCTTCTATTCCGTCCACAACCATCTGAACAGTACGCAACCTCACTGACTGTTGATAACAGCTGATATTTATGAAACACTTGGCAATTATCATAACTACGTAAATTGATGTTTGAATTGGGTCCTACAAGTCCACTTATCAGTCAGAACGCCAACATATTGAGACCCAAGTCAAATTAATTGGTGAATTATAAACAGGTCTAGAAAAGTATATATGGTTCCACATACAGTCATTACTGAAGGACAACCAGGACGCCACGATTTCTGTTCTTGTTTGTAATACTAATGAAGGTGTTACAAAAATTACATAAGTACAGGACGTGACACCTGACAAAAGGTGACTTAATCAGGCTAATGAGCTATGGTGTAGAAATTGCTCAAGTTCAGAATTTGATTCATATTGCTTCGCGACTTGAGCACCAATAGTGATGAATAGTTTACTTTGATATGATATCAATCTGCTTAAACCATAGGTTCTTTCGACGATAATTTTAGGCTAGTTAGAAATACACTTAACAAGTTGCATTTGAGTTCAGTAATAACTGTTTTCTGTTACAGATAAAGTGCTACGATGTGACATTTCTATGCCTTGATAAAATACGAGAGTTGAACACTTATTTGTTGTCGAACACTACTGATCAGAAAAATATGCATTATTGTACCAAAGGTGGGGAATCGAATATGAATACAGTGGTTTTGAGTGCTGTTAAAGGTATGAGGGCGGTTATCACTTTCCGGTCGCCCACACCATGGAAGGGTTCTTCTGGAGGTACCTGGAAAGAAAATTGGGTTAGAGTTGGTTTTAGTGACCTGAGAGCGTGACTTCAGTGCCTAAGGAACAACTGCTTGAGGTAGATCACACACAACTTTTTTGTGTTAACCGCGTGTTTGTTGAAACCTAACCGCTGGAGACGGAAATCCGTGGGATAAGGCGAGGTGTGCATTTTTAGAGTCGACCTTTTCTAACCCCACCTCTTCTTTGTGGGAAGACAGCATCGCTGTTATGCTGTCTGTCTGAGGGAAACACTTTACTGCTCTCACATCCCTATACAGTCAGCAGTACGACTTCTCCCTCGGTCCTTGGGTTTGCAGCTTTTAATCTTAGCACTCCTCAACCGACCTGCTTGGCATAGTAAAACCTTGAGGGACGATTATTCCAGTCAGTATAACTCGATTGGTTCATTACGATAAGGAAGCCCGATCACCACGTCAAGGTAGCAGCAACAATTGGGATTGTATTAGACTACTTGATAATATCAATAACTATTAGAAGAGCACCGGGAAAACTGATGATTCAAATCATTAGAAATGTCATACCTTTAGAAGAATAAAACAACTCCTCAGTATATTCAATTACTTCGAACACTTACTAAATAGTTAGAGAACTAGAAATATTGTTTAAATGAATGAAATCAATTGTTCTACACCAGAAAAGTATATTAAATACATTGCATCCAAATTGACTATTTCAAATCTAACAAATCATTTGACAAAAATAATATTAGAATGGTAACTAAAATGCAATTGTGAATAAATGGGATACATTCATAGAAAATTAATTTTCTTCTTACAGATATGGAATTTAATTCGAACATTCATTTATTTTGTTTTTATTCATTTAAAACGAACTATAAACCTTTATTATAATAAACAACTGAAGGTAATCGACCAGATCGAATTTCTTTAATATGTGCTTGAACATCAGGTTCAAGTTTATGAAATGGAATTGAACTGATTTGTGGGAATACAGCACAGCATAAAGGTGTTACAAGAGATAACCTGAAAAGAAAAAGTGATAGGATATTTTTTTTATTGAAGAAGAAGTAGAATAAAGATGCTGTCAATTGTAAATTGTTTATACAGTCATAATTAAATTTTTTGTGTACAATGAAAAATACATTTTAAAAAAAAATGTCCAATTACATTCGTAGTGTCGGTAACCTTGTTAAGCCCTTAAGCTAGCTTTCGGACATGTCAATCTATTCATTCTATTTGAGTCGTATTTTGACATTGTTAATTATTCGCTTATCAACTTTGACTGTTTTTACATGAGCGCATATATGTGTGTGTACACTTCTTATCCCATTACTCATCATATGTCTGTAACCTATTGTTGTGTGACTATAAATATTGATTGACGCTCGATGAAATGGAGTTGGCTTACCTGCCAACTCCACTGCGCGTCGTTTCGCTTCGCTCTATTTCATTCTCTTCCCCAATATTTTGTCTGCATCAACGTGTTCGAAATTCATTTTCGTATTTGACTTATTTAATTCCGTTATTGACTAACGCGATTTAAGTCGATAATTGTATACGAGGGTAGGCGACATGTATATTTCGATAGCAATCATTCAATAACAAACATTCATACGATCAAATTGGAGTCAGATACGAGCCACTAAAATGGTGAGCCCATTGACAACATCGTCCGATCTAAATGACGACAAAATAAAGGGCCCTACTAATTATTAATAAATTTTTATCAATAAAATATGTTCTGTATTCTCTCAATGTTCTAACTGACTTATTTCAAATGTTTACAGATTGTATTTTATGTAATCGGTTTTCGATTTCATTGTAGTGCCTTTTTTTCTATTTATGATTAGTGTGGCCATCTATATTACGAGACATTTATGCTAATTTAAAACTTAGCGAACCTAAGTAAGTTTTGATAAAGATTTATGTTGGGACAGCCTCCGAGAACTACGAAGGAGCCTCCAGAGGCTCTTGAAGAGCCGAAAAGTTCTATACAATCAGAACGCAATGAAGCTTTCTAGAATGTCAATGTGGCAAGCTACCACTGGTCAGTAGCATAACATGCCTCTTTGCAGATTAGCCGAATTATAATGCTGATTTAACAAACGCTAATATCTATAAAAACCCGTAATTTTATGTGTACTTAGATTCTAGCATTCAGATGCTCAAATCATATGCGGTGTATTAAGAATCTAGGCTTCTAGATATAATAACTGGCGACGGGGTTAACTTATCAAGATGTCATTTACCTTTGACTAATTCAAAGCCTTGCTGGAGCGTCAAGAAAAACGTTTCGAACAGTTCCAGATTCGTATTCTAGAGGCTCTAACCCAGCAAATGAACCTAAATCAAAAGGGGCTTACAGATGGTCCGTTCAAATCCCATGTCAACCACATCATTAATTCTATCCATGAATTTCATTTCGATGGTTCGGCTGGAGTTACACTTGGATCGTGGTTCAAGAAATACGAATATGTATTCAAGGTCAATCTACAAAAACTTGATGATACTGCAAAGGTCAGAGAACTGCTACGCGAGCTTGGCACAGCTGAAAATGAACGCTACATCAACTTCATTCACTTCAAGAATCCCAGAGACACTTCATTTGATGCAACGGTTGTAACTTTGTCACAAATCTTTGGTGAACAGTCATCTTTATTCAATATTCGTTACCAATGTCTGAAGTTGGCTAAAGCTGGAGACGATGACTGGGTACAATATGCTGGCATAGTAAATCGAGTGTGAGCGTTACAAATTATCAGCAATGACAAAAGACCAGTTGAAGTGTCTTGTTTTTGTATGCAGCTTGCAGTCACCTGAAGATGCCGACATCAGAACCAAAATTCTGAGTAAAATTGAACAGTGTTCAAATATAACTTTATAAGAAGTGACTATTGAATGTCAGAGGTTGATAAACTTAAAACATAACACTTCTATGATTGAAATGACAGGAAAAAAATATCTTTAATCGAAAAGCTGGTTACTTTGATAAAATCTAACAGTTTACACAAATTACTGCTACAATACACAATCCTTAATTCTCAGAAGTAAAGTTGTCAAAATTAACTAATTAGAAGATAGAAAGTAAGATAATTTGAAAACGTTAACACCTTTGGAAAAAATGCCGACTACAACACCTGTGAATCAACTTACACTAAACCGACTAAGCTAATTTGTATTGGAGCTCCCAACCAAGGATAACGAATAAGCAATTTTTGTTTTTCCAATGATTGCATCACAAAAGGCAAAATTGCTGAGGTAAGTAGATATAAAGAAAAAAAATGTCAGTTTCTATTAATTAAGTAATTATCATTTATTAATGTTGGTTATTTATCTTCAAATATTTATTTAAAAACTCAAACAACGTGTACATAAAGCCCTCGAATGCCCTGGTACGGCCTAAGGTGGGAGAGTCAGCTCTCTCTCTCTAAATGCTATCACATGACCATGCGTATACAGCCACTGTCACGGAACTTCTACTCACTGCCTTCTGATGGCAAGGGTATTTTTTGTGAAATTCAGAGGACGAAAAGCGAATGTCCGGCGCATTAACCGGGCTGGTGGACATGGAGAGTCCATCTAGGGGAGTTGGAAAACCCTGATTCCAAACCAATGGTGCACATGGGCTCCGCGATCCTGAAGGAACAAATGGCATATGAACCAATCGTTAGTCACCGGCTACCATGGGACTGCATTTCCTAAAGTTGCTCCACTGCATTGTGAGTCAGACCTTTAAGTCGAAGGTTCCGGGTGTGATTCCCTAAGAAAACCATCAGCCTCAGTTTTGGCACCCAAGCAGTATCCCAGCCCTCACTCAAATTGAATGATTCATGTGGTGCATATCTAGTTGGTGCCTCCTTGTACAATGTTTATGTGTTTAAATAAATAAATAAGATATAGGCCAATTAAAATTCTGAAACTAATAATCGAAGTAAATATTGATAACAAAGGATGAGAGAAATAATACTGTAATTAAAAATGAGACCAAATGCTCAACGAGAGACTGAGAAATGTATAGACTGGTATGGATTAAGCAAGAAATGATAAAATGAGATGAGTGCTAATTATATTATTGATAGACAAAACACATCCTCACAACACGAAACTACCATATTATTAGATGACTTACTCATTCCAGGGGAAGCCATTAATATTCGTGATAAAACCACTTGACTAACAGCTCTACGTCCTACAACAGTTGATTTACCCAATTTCTCACCATTTTCATCCAATATAGGTGTACCTTCAGTTAGTTCTGCACTTCTCATACATGGAATATTAATACAATTAGCTGCAGAGACTGCAATAAATGGTACAAATCGACCAATTATAGGAGGGAATTTCTAAAATTGAAAAACAAAGCAAATAAAAAGAATTTAGAAAGAAAAAAGTGTTCACAGAATATGCGCGTATTTCAATTTATGAAAAGAAGGTTCTAGTTTCAGAGATAGTTGGTCATCTGCTAAAACACATCAAACTCCATTAGCCTGTTCATTCACAACAATATGAAACAGTGTTAGTAGTGGGTAAAAGTACAGTATAGGGACGACCCAATCAAAATAGAGAATGTAACTTCCACGTTTAGACGTGAAATTCAAATACAACGTATGCAACGCATTCGAAACCTTACACTGTCAACTAGTTTTGATTATCAGATTGTTTTAATTGATTGTTATAAGTTAATTTCATTACTAGATGTGGGTACATAGTATGTGTTTAATAAATTGACGGTTTACTTTTATTCTTATTCTTTTATTTTCCAGATTCATTCACCTACTGCTTCCAACACTGCCCCAACACACATGGTACCTTCAGGCTAAACGCAAATCTACCAAAGGTTGGACATTAACTGCATAATGAGTAGTAGAAACACTTATGTATGGTGCCCAAAGTGTTCAGAATACTTACTTCCTTACGCCTGTTACTCCCAATGGAGCATAGGCCGCCGATCAGCATTCGCCATCCCACTCTATCATGGGCCTTCCTTTCCACTTCTGTCCAATTTATGTTCATCCTTCTCATGTCTGTCTCCATTTCTCGACGTAATGTGTTCTTTGGTCTTCCTCTTCTCCTTTGGCCTTGAGGATTCCATGTGAGTGCTTGCCTTGTGACACAGTTGGGTGCTTTCCTCAATCTTTGTCCTATCCATTTCCAGCGCTTCTTCCTAATTTCTTCCTCAACTGGGATCTGGTTTGTTCTCTCACACAGTAGGTTGTTGCTGATAGTGTCTGGTCAACGGATCAAAAGTATTTTGCGTAGACAGCTGTTAATAGAGTCTTGTATCATCTGGATGATGGGTTTCGTAGTTCTCCAAGTTTCCGTTCAATACACTAGAACTATTCTGACATTTGTATTGAAAATTCTGACCTTGGTGTTGGTTGACAGTTGTTTTGAGTTCCCGATGTTCTTCAGCTGTAAATATGCTGCTCTTGCTTTGCCGATCCGCGCTTTCACATCTGTATCAGACCCACCATGTTCATCAATGATGCTGCTCAAACATGTACAGGTTTTTACATCTTCCAAATCTTCTCCGTCAATTGTGATTGGATTTGTGCATGTTGTGTTGTATCGGAGAATCTTGCTTTTCCGTTTGTGTATATTGAGACCTACTGCTGCTGAGGCTTCTGCTACACTGGTCGTCTTCTCCTTCATTTGTTGTTGCGTTTGCGATAGAAGAGTCAGATCATCTACGAAGTCTAGGTCGTCCAAGTGCATCCTAGATGTCCACTGTATTCCGCTCTTCCCCTCAGATGTTGACGTCTTCATGATTCAGTCGACCATTAGGAGAAAGAGAAAGGCTGAGAGTAAGCAACCTTGCCTGACACCTGTCTTTACCTCGAATGACTCTGTCAATTATCCTCCATGCACGATTTTGCATTTTAATCACCATAGAAATTCCGTATGATATTGATTATCTTCTCAGGTACACCGTAGTGAAAATGTCCAAAATGAAAGAGAAGTTTTTTGTCATGCATGGAGAAAATTGATGATCTTAAACTTATTAAATGCTTAATTCTATCTCTGTGGATTGTATATAATATCGAGAATTGACATTATCTCTAAATTATAAACTTATATTTTAGAGACGAAACAATCAAGATAACTTACATGTTCTTTAGAATTGAAATCAAATGACTATTCACACAACTATTCATCAATATAACTACAACATTTTCTCCCACATTATAACCCTAATTTATAATCTTGACCATTATCGATCCTCATTCGTTTATATTACTTAAATACTGATTTGTTATTTTAAAAAAATTGACTTTAATATCTCATGATTTTCATTAAATCATAGAATAAACGAGCATCATAAGTTATAATTACAAATATTGTAATTAGATTAATTTAGTAAATATTTATCAATTATAAAATAATTTGTAAACAAAAGGCTAATTCATAAACCGTATTGAATTTTCAGTTCATGTAAGCAATAGATAGTTGAAAGTGGAACATAATCATAATGTTTGATTTTTAAAATCATTTCATATGAATAATCAACTAATAATAATAATAATAATAATAATAATAATAATAATAATAATAATAATAATAATAATAATAATAATAGTAGTAGTAGTAGTAGTAGTAGTAGTAGTAGTAGTAGTAATAGTAATAGTAATAATAATAATGACGACGAAATTCACTATATTCAAAAAAAAACTATTACATATGCCATATTAAAATTAATTAATCAATACAATTCGACCCCAATTACTAAACAGAATTAGAACAGTACATCTATGGGTCATACAACGATATTTATAATAATAATAATAACAATAATAATAATAATAATAATAATAATAATAATAATAATAAAGGTTTATCCAAATATTTATACACTCATTTTGATTACCTATGAAGACTCATGTATGTGTACCTGTTCTTTTGTTTGTATATTACGAGTGAAATAAATGTTTCATTATAGAATGAACGAATTATTAACAGACAATGTGACAGTATAAGTGAAGATAAAGTTAAATTTTTTTTATCTATTATGACTGAGAACAAACCAGCTTCCAGATGAAGAGGAAATTAGGAAAAGATGATGGAAATGGATAGGACATACATTACGTGAATCGTCAAACTTCATCACGAGACAAGCCCTAACTTGGAATCCTGAAGGAAGGCGGAAAAGAGGAAAAGAGATTCAAACCCAGGACCTATCACTCTCCTGCGAGAGAGCTTAACCACTAGACCACTGAGCCGGTCGGCATCCAGTGGTGTTAATGTCTAACTTTAACTAATCCACGAAATCGAGCGACACATCCACCATTGTCTTCAGTGAGTTACTATCCCACAACAGACCCGGTTGAACTCCATTGCCCCCAAATGCCCTGGTACGGCCGAGAGTGGGGAGAGTCCGCTCTCCCTCTCGAAATACTCTCACACGGCCACGCGTATATAGCCTCTGCCAGGGAAGTCCTACTCACTGCATTCTCGCGGCGGGGGTGTTGTTTACGAAAATGAGAGGACGAAAAGCGAATGTCCGGCGCTTTAACCGGATTCCAAACCAATGGTGCACATGGGCTCCAGTATCCTGCGGGAACAAATGGCGAATGAACCAATTGTTGGTCACCGGCTTCCATGGGACTGCATCTCCTTACGATGCTCCACTGCCTTGTGGATCAGACCTTTGGGTCGAAGGCTCGGGGTGTGGCCCCCTAAGAAAACCACCTGCTTCGGTTTGGGCACCCGGGCAGTATCACAGCCCTCACACATATCGGATGAGATTTGTGTGGCGCATATGTATTTGGTGTCTCTTTGTACCATTATCTATGTGTTGAAATAAAATGAAATAAAAAACAACAGACCCGGATGAACTCCATTGGTAAGTGCTTCTCACTAGAACTCCAGGAAATACGTCTTGAACCCAGTCACTAGTCAGCATATGTTTTAGCCATCGTAATTAATAATTACGTGTACATATAACATAAGAGTAAATCTATTTACATATAATTAAATAGAATAATATCTACTAGTTAATAATTATATATGTAAATGAAACCAATCGAAAAACAAAAAAAACAATTACTAATTAAAATAACAGAAAGAAATAATTTACTTGGACTTGTTTATTGATAGTTAATGCAGTGCCTAATGCCCCACCAGTAGCCAAAACATATGATATCCCAAGACGTCTGTTGGAACAGAAAAAAAAAAGAACAACTTGAAGGAGATATGTACATAGATTGTTTTAATGTGAAAAATAATACTTTTATTCAGATGAGTGAATTAAAATGAGTAATCTATTGGCTACCAATATTACGAAATGTTGGAGAAGATTTATTACGAAAGGAGGATGATTTTGGTCGATTTCCGTTTTTAAAGCTTGATGACTTCTTACTCGTGATATTGCTTGTCCCTTGTACTTTTTGTTTGATTTGTTGAAGGGAGTTATTATGATTGATGTTCTAAAGTGAACACTCTTTCCAAATTTTTCCTTTGGTCGTTTATGATAAAATCTAAGCATCCAGGTCAGATAGGTAATTCGATTCCATTAAAACTGAGATATCCATATTGTTGTCGAGTGACAAGTGGCTTAGAACCTAGTACTAATGAACTCTTACCATTTAGGAATTGGTATATATCTACATGGAGCTTCATTCTCTGAGCTGGATGCTTTAACAGTAGAGTTTCCATTAGCATGAACTTCAGGTGGAAGTGACCTGTTCAAATTTGTCTACATATGATTTTGATCTAATTCTCGATTTTATATTCGTATATATTTTCTCACTTGAGTCCATAATTGTCTACGTGCATTAGTACAGAATGGCATTTAACAGTTAATTGATGCCATGTAGAAGATGAAGAAGACTGTCACTTCATCTGATGTATTCTTCTTTGCAGTTAGAAGTTTGTCATATGGATGACCTTTGACTTTTCTCCATTTTCCATTCTATCCTTTGATTTTCATAAAATATATATATATATATATATAAATATATATATATATATATATATATAATCAGAATAAGGAAGCAAAAACCCAAATTTATATACATATTCAATCCCTAGCTAAACTGTGGGCGTGCACAGTATCAAACATTTTCGGGCAATTTTCTTTCTATTTATTAAACGAGCGCTACATATAAGAGCATAATTTTCCCTGAGGACTTCATTTTCAGCTCTGAATTCCACTTTGATTGCTTTTTTATGGAGAAAAAGTTGAGTTACGCTACAGTGACGTAATCATGGAACATACATGTACATAGCTTCAAAGGATTGGAATGAAATCCTCAGTAAAAAAAAGGTATGCAGTTATATGCAGAATTCATTCACTAAATGAAAGGAAGATACTCGTAAATGCTAGACGTTGAAATCTTATTGAATATTGAAAAAAGGGATAATCTCATATCAAAGTCTAAGTAAACAATGATACATTTTATACAGGATTTGTACTCTAATCAAAAAAAGCGATATGTTTACAATCGTACACACAAGTCTTCCATTAATAGACGGTATTTCATTGTAAATAACTTGCAAAATAACGTTTTTCAGTTTATATATAAATTTGTTGGATTAATAACAAATAAGTTCAAATGTAAGTTTTGAATATCCGCTAATACAGTTTAATTTGTCTTCAAGTATAACGGTAACATCTTTTTAGTCATTTCATTCAGTATAACTTTCTTATATACATCAATAAATCAAACTAAGAATAATACATGCAATGCAATGTCATGGTGATACTAAAAAAGCATAATATATTTAAACGAATTTATGACACAAAACAATCAGTATAAAAGTTAGTATTTTTATGCAAAGTTAACTACATAGAAAAGAGAGGGTGAATAGGATCGTATACTATGTACAAAGGCTTGGCATAGTACTTTATCGATTTTTCCACAGTTTCTATGGATTTTCTGCACGTATAATTGCTCTGATCCTTTAAATACATGTAAATAGTAATCTAATAAGCTGAAAAGTTTCTGAGCGTGTGTATTTAGATGGACACAAAAGCATCCAAAACATCCTGGCATTGTTGCTCAGTGCTGCCAAAAGACTATGTGTTTTATCATTGTTTTCATCAAACAGGACTATGTCATCTGCGTGAACCAATTAACAATTATACAATGAAAATGTAAACAATAACTTTAGGTAAGACCGTTCCAAAATTTTAATTTTTCTCAGTATTTATTTCAATATAGCAGATCATACACAATCTATCTATCTATCGATATAGATGTATATGTTGCTAATAAGTCGATAATCTGGTGAGGTACACTTGACATTATCCTGTTTAATGTTGATTAAGTTCTGATCAAAAAAATTTAGAGGTATTTACAACAAGATGACAACGCGTCTTTTTGTCTTTTAATTCACATGAATCATTTACTTTTTGGATGATTTACAACAAATCATTTGTTCATATTGTTCGTTATCTTGTTCATAGTTAGGATAATTCCAATTATGGAAAAACATAATGACGAATAACTACCTTCATTCTAATTAGCTACTTTAAGGGTCTGACAGTGACAGTACGCTTTAATAGTTTTATTTAAAATCAATAGAGTTGGTCATAATATTTTTTTGTTATCTAAAACCCTAAACAATCCAGTAATGGAGATCACTTTTAAGAACTAAACATGATAAACTTATCTAACCAGTCATGCTAGTAATAAGTATAAAAGAATTGACTATATAATTATACAGTAATAACATACAAATTACTTTTAGTAAAGTATAACTATGAATAAATTTAGGTGAGTGGGAAAATATTAGGAAAAGAAATGGAGGAGTGTGATATAATTTTGATAAATATTTTCCAAAAATAGATTTACACCACTAGAATAAATGTCCGTTCAAAATTATCGGTCAGTTATTAAATAGAAGTAGAACCTACCACATTTATTCAAGCCGCCACGCAGTATATATCAGCACAATAGAATGAAAAGAGGCAAAGTAGAAGTAGCGATAGTACCAGTGGTAGTAGAAAACATTAAGGTTTTAAGAGAAGGCGTGAATGTATTTATGCTATTGTGATAGATTCCGAAGCATGTCAACCAACGTCTTTGACTACTTGGTTAGGGTAACCGCGCGGACCTCAAAAAAATAGTTTGCAGCCGTCAACACATGTCATCTCAACAGACGACGACTTTATAGACTAGTGGCTAGTATTGGTTTAGCCCTATCCCTAGCTGTCTTCTAATTTACTCTTATACCAGCAAACAGTGCATCAAAGAGGGGGGTGACTGTGCGTGATACATGTATTAACTATTTCAGTAGATGAAGATTCACATGCTCAACCGATTCCCCATTTTTTGTTAAGTACCATATGACTTACCTTTGTATTGCTCACATCATAGTTTTAAAATACACGGGCAATGTTTCGAAAGCATCTATAATCGAATACTATGAATACTCAATATTTTTAAAAGCCGTTTCACAAACATGAAAAACACTAGATTAAACTTTTGCGCATTATAATCACGAGTATTACAGATCACACTAGTTAACTACACTACTTACATTGAAAATGTCTGAACTCAAAACGGTGTTAATAGGTGCAGACTAACTGTTTTTGATTTACACGATAATCGTGAATAATGGTTCCAAATCCTAGGTAAAATGGCTAAAAATCAGTAATAATTATACAAATGGGTTCATTTTCTTTATCCTCATCACTACCTTCAGTTTTAATTGTAATGTGTTCGGGTACAGAGACGATAATTCAACTGGTGTCACCAGTATGATACACCGACATCGGGGGATTGGATGAGTATTAAGAACATCATCCCAGTGGCTATCCTGTTGTAACTTTCCTTTCCTTTCTTTAGAAAAGTGAGAGTAACTTCTTTAAATATAAAACTTCTTCCCAGTTGTATTTTCCTCAACTGAACTACTTCTCACATTATGACTATTAATATTATTTCACTCGCTTACAATATGTCAATTTTGTTCTTTTATTATACTTACCCTCCTTTCTCTATCTCTTCACAATCACATTTTTATTGTGTGGTGCATATATATTCTGGAGCCCTCTTGTACAAATATTTGTGTTCAAATAGATAAACAAATAAGTTGTAGTAAATTTCGTCTCTTGGTAACATACTCTTTATGTTAGTTTTATTCGAATTATCAGTGATAGTACGAGTCCTTTGATTTTACTATTAACACTGTATATATCTTTTCTTGGGTTGATATAATTCAGTAATTTGACCTGATTTATATTTGTCCTACGTTTTGTATTGATTATTACTGACTAACAAAGTTAATTACATGTACGGATATATATTTGATGTAACCGTTTATCATTTTACTTAATCACACTTGTACCTATATTCGTAAATACACTTACTGTTCGCTAAGGTGAGTAGCGATTGACATTGAGGACAATGAGGAGTGGGGCAATTATTGGAAACATGAGTCACAAAGAATTTCTAATCATAATAATTGTGGTGAGTAAATTAAAAATAGTAAAAGTAAAATAAACCAGTGTTGTACAAAAGTGATTTAGAATCACGAAACTATTGAGCGTATTATAAGTTAGTTCAGTGATTCACAAGCATAAGATGCCGTTGTAAACAATGGAAGGAATGCTTATTGTTGTATCCGAAGAAAATTAAATAAATGGTAACTTCCAAAAATAGTTTATAGACTTATATATACATTTAATTGTAAGCTTTCATTTGACATATTATATACTATTATATGATCTACAATTCTTAATTTATTCCCAATCTATTAGTTACACCCAATTTTGGCATGACTTTGTATAACTGCTATTTTTCATTTTATGGTGTGGTACAGTTTAGTCTGGTTGTATATAAACTACTTATTACTTATATAGTGGAGACAGATATCGTGTTCTGGACCCAACAGGCAGGACTGGACGAGAAGCCACAATATCGAGGACCAGTAAGGATTCAGAGTTGATTCAAGACTGCTAATGCTGATTGACATGTCATTGGTTTATCACAGTAACAATGCCATATGAGTAGATAATCTGATTGGTGATTCTGTTACGTGATAATTGACAGAGTCATAAATCATAACATTTACAATCAATTCAACCAACCTATAATCAGTTTTTTATTTCACACTATATTGCAACCTGAATAAAATAATCAGCTAAGCCTTTCAAGATTGAATAAAAAGGCAATAGAGAACAATGTGCTTAAACAAATTGTTCATTAAC